GAAATACCGCAAAACCATAAAGCAAGACCGTTAAGAAATTATTCTGACGAACAAATAGAACAATCAAAGAAATTATACAAAGAACTTAGTGAATCAAACATAATAGAACTCTCCAGAGAAAGCTGGATGGCACCATTAGTAATAGTACCAAAACCTGACGGTAGCTATAGAGCCGCAGTAAATTATACATTATTAAACAAATATTTGAAGAAAAATCCATTTGAAATACCAAACATACCTGTAATACTCCAAAAAATAGCAAGACAAAAAATTTTTTCAACCTGTAATTTTAAAAGTGCTTATTATCAGTTTCCATTAAAAATATAAGATAGAGATAAAAGTACTGCATACTTTCCTGGTGTAGAAAAGTTTAGATTTACGAAATGCCCAATGGAAATTAGTACAGCACCAGCATATATGATGAGATATATGTTCCAGTTATTTGAAGATTTAGATTATGTATATGTATACATGGATGATTTAACTATAGGAAGCCAAACCATAGAAGAACATTTTCAACATATTCAAACAGTGTTTAAATGCATAAAAAAAGCAGGCCTTACCCTAAAAGTTGAAAAATGTGAATTCATAATGAAAGAAATAATAATACTGAATAATAAAGTGCGACATAGACAAATATTACCAAATCAAAAGAAAAAAGAAGAAGTACAAAAAATCAAACCACCAAAAGATAAGAAAGGTGTACAACAATTCACGGGATCAATGAATTATTTTCGGAGATTCATACCGAAATTTAGAGATATTGCAAGACCAATATATGACTTATTAAAGAAAAATTCAAAATTTGAATGGACACAAGAACACCAGAAAGCTTTTGAAACACTTAAAGATAAGGTTTATAATGCGATAGCATTAATATATCCTAAGAAAGGATATCAATTAATAATAGAAACTGATGACTCAGATAAGGGAATAGGCATGTGCTTAAAACAAATTAATCCAAATTTAGCACATTACAAAACAAAAGATGCACGAATAAATGGAACAAAAGATAAAGATGATTATACCAAATCTGAAGAAGAAATTATTGAATTAGCATCACACACACTTAAACCCAATGAACAACTATGGGGAAGTACACAAAAAGAACTTTACGCAATCTATTTTTACTTAAACTATTGGAAACATTACATAGGATCTAAAAATGTAATTGTACGAACTGATAACACTGGCGTAAGTGACTCATCAGGAAAGATGCCAAGAAATCAAACCATGGAAAGATGGCTTATCAAACTACAAGACTTTAATTGGACTGTGGAATGAATTAAAGAGAAAGATAACACAATAGCAGACTGGTTAAGTAGACAAATGGAAATAGATAAGAATGGCAACCAAATTGAGAAACTAAACATTGGAATAAAAGATAAAGATATAAAAATGCCCAACTTACCCAAGGTACAGATACTCGCAATAACCTTAACCCGAAGACATTTAACAAAAACTATCAATAAATAAACACCTTACCCTGAAAGGTTGAAAAGTAATCCATAAAGATAAACAAAATAGATAAGAGAAATATCCAATGGAAGGAATTAGTAACAAACCAATACCACCATATCATAAACTTAAAGAAATCTTTGAAGACGAATCAAAATGCATAGAATATTTAATGGCAAAAGAAATAATACCACGAGAACTTAAGTGCCTAAATATTTATTGTTTACGGCAAATGACCTTAAATGAAAAGACCTTTAAGTGCCCAAATCGAGATTGTAGAATGAAGATATCATTATTCAATAGCACAATCTTCTTAAACGCCAAGCTATCTTGTAACAAAATATTATTAATAGGATACTATTGGATTGTTAAAATCAGAAAAAAACAGATTAACATTTTTACGGAAATATCATTACCAACAATAACTCACTGGACCAAAATATTTAGAACATGTGTAACACAAGAAATCAAAGAATATGAGAATAAAATAGGAGGCAAAGATGATATTGTAGAATGCAACGAATCAATATTCTACAAAGATAGAAAAAATGATAAAGCAAACAAAGTATGGGTATTCGGGGGAATATCCCGAAGCACAAAAGAATTCTTTGCAGAAGTAGTACCAGATAGAACATCTGAGACATTGTTAAATTTAATTCAGAAACATATACATCCAGAATCAACAATTTACACAGATATGTTCAAAAGCTATGATAAAATATATGAACGGCTGAATATTGCACATCACCAAATAAATCACAGTAAAGAAATGATCATAACAGAAATAGATGAAAGATCAAATGAATTAAAAATAATGCATACAAACAACATTGAATGCACTTGGCGAATTCTTAAAGATAACATACCAGGCCAAAACCGGAATAAGAAAGATCTACCTAATCATTTATTTGAACATATTTTCAGATGCCAAAATAAACAAAGATTATAGGACGCGTTTATCGAATGATTACGCGACACAAATAAAGAACTCATTGACGAAATACAATCAATAAGTAATACAAATTCGGATCTAGAATAAATTACTGATAAGAAATAATTATATAAAGGCACCCTGAACAACTAACCCAAGGACATTCAAAATATAACGGAAAAACTACAGCAGACCCTAAATGGTAGATACCCAACATATAATTAAAGAATTAAAAAGGAACCAAAGAATAATTAAGAAACGAATCGAACAATTCAAGAATTCAGTACCTAGAATATTAACTCTAGAAGAACTTGAACTCAGAGAAATTGAATCTTGGATACAATCTAGAATCAGTAACCCGAATAATATAACTTGTCTAACCCTGACAATATTAAGGAGCAAACTAAACAATCAGGACCTATATGACCAATTGCCAAGAACCGATAAACCATTTGGAACCTGAACAAGAACTGAAATCAGAAAACTACAATATAACCTATATCAAGAAATCAGAAGTAACAACTATATCTTATACTGAAGAACAGCAAGAAATTGAAAACAGTCTATTATATAAAGAACTTAACAAACCAAAAAAGAATAAAGACCTCGAAGACTTTGACAAATATTTAATTGTTTTGGGAGCAATAACACTCGCAGAACAAAAACCAGAAGACTTTGAACATAGATACTAGTTGAACAATTTGATACAAAAACAGTTGCGAAACGAGTTAGAATTAAGACAATACTATAGTTTAAGGAATTTTAAAACAATTCGACTAACCCCAGAAAAAACTGAAGACGTCAAAAGAGAAATAAATCAAAAACTACAAGGAATAAAACAAAAATACTATCCAGAACAATTGGAAAGGCTATACCAAGCAAACCAGCAAAGAAGTTACTACTGAATGATCAAGGCAGAAATAACTAAAAGCAAACTTGGAACATTAATTGACGAAACAATTAAAAAGCTTGAAGAAGACCAGAACTTAATCAATAAAGAAAAGAAAGAAAAAATACTAATAGAAATAAAGAACGAAAAATCAGAAGAACCAACATTCAAAGAAGAACAGAAAAAATATAGAAGAAATAATGTTCGAAGAGCAAAATAGGATTACAAATTATCATCAGAAAGTTGACACTATAAGTTGGTTAAGACAGCAACTCTACAGAGACGCACTACATCACTGTATTAACTGCAATATAGGCTGGAGATACGAGAACCATAATTCACATAATTGCAACTACGACAGCAAACCAGGAAAAGAACTTAGAAAATTTTATAAAGTAACAGTCCAGGAATTTGAAAAACTAATAGAAGAAAGACCTTTTATTATCACACCAAACAGAACAAAGAAATTACTAGAAAAAATAAATCAACAAGCTTTTAAACCAACAAAATTAGATCCGACATATACCGAAGAAAGAAAAAGGATTATTAAAGAAATAACTGAACTAACAATAACAAAACTTATAACCCTAAAAAACAAAATTGAAGAAAAACTAAAATGAACCCAAACGAATCAAATGGATGGACTCAGCGAGGACCAAACTACTGCAAATGTTGCGACGAGTATGTTGAAGAACCTGAAAAACATAACTGTACAATCATAAAAGACCAAGAATTCCAGGAAATCTCGAGAGAAGAGTTTGATAAACCAATCATCGAAAGAATATTGAAAGCATTTGTCGAGTATGCTAAAGAAGGATTCGACAAGGAACGAGAAGAAATCCTGAGAAGACAAAGTACACGGGAATTCACGTGCAGAATCTGTTACAAAAAAGAACATACAAATAGATATTGTCCAAATCAGGAATGTTTTTCATGCAATAAAAAGGGCCACCAATCAAGAGATTGTCCAAACAAAATCAGATCAGACCAATTAAACAATAATCCGAGAAGATCTTACAGCGATCCAAGCAACCAAAATGGGAGCAACGAACAAGGACCATCCCGAAGAATATTCACCTGTAAATTCTGTGGGGAAAATCACAGAAATAAAACTGCAAAGTACATAGAGTGTTGAAAGAAAATAGAAGCTTATTATGTGGTTGCGACGCAGAAAAAATCCTATTAAAACGACAGCAACACACAGAATGGGCCGCATATTCAAAAAACTGAGACCATCATCACTGTTGTAACTGCAACAAACCAACAGCATCCGTGAACCTATACTACATACAAGGACTCTATAAATCATCTAGAACTTTCGAACCAGTATTCCTGCCAGAACAGATGATGTGCAATGGATGCTATAGAGAATATTTTGAAGAACTCGATATTAGGGACGAGCGAGCACAGAAATACTACCAAACTCTAGGACAGGGAAGACTTGTAAATTGTTATTTATGCGGGAAACAGAACCTTAAAAAGAAAATGGAAGATTGGCAAGCACGATTCTTCTGTAGTAAAGAAGAGAAACTCGCAAACCTCATTTATTTACTAGAAGAACAGATCACAGATGACCGAGAAATAATGAAGAAAATTCATACATATACTAGAAATCAGACGAACGTAAATTATAATATAAATGAATCAAAAATTAGAAGAATATACAAATATATAAATGAAACAGACCAGCTGGACCACAACAACCCAAACTTCAAAACCATTATTAATGACCAAGAAGATGACATCATGAACTACCACCGATACTACCAAAGTGAAAATGGGGAAGTGACTGAAGAATCTGATAGTTATAATAGCGACTTTGAAGAACTAGCTATGGGACTAGAAAATTCAATGACCATTAATGCGAAAGAAAAAGAAAAGTTAGAAGATTATGAGGAACAAATGCAAATACAGGCTTGGAATCTCTGTAAAGAATGCCTAATGCCAATATCAGAAATACATACTGAAAACAAAAACTATCGAAATGAATATTGCCCAGAATGTCTTATGGAAATTGAAGAAAAAATGATCAACCTCGATGAAGAACCCGAACAAAACAGACAACAAATGGAAATAGAAAAAGAACAAACTGAACAAGAAAAAGAATTGAACAATATCAGAAGAGAATTGGAAATGGAAAAGCAGATCAAAGAACAAGCTACAATGACCTCTAAAGAAAAATTACAGAATAAAATAGAATGGTATGGAGAAACTGAGGATGGATACGAAAGCGATGAATTTAAATACGAAATGCAGAACATTGAAGAACTAGACGATTACATTGAAGAAATCACGAGAGACTGGTATCAGGAGGATATATCCCAAAATGCCACAGACCTAAAGAAATTGACCTTATTAACCCTGAACTTGCATTATAAAAATGAAATGGAACAGGAAGAAATGAGACAGAGATTGTCAGTACTCGAAAGAACAACCCTAAAAATGACATCACAAATTGAGACCTTGGAAACAGAAATAAAGGACCTCAAAAATGAGAACTATGTACTCAAAAGAAGAATTGAGCACCTGGAAGAAGGTGCCAGAAAAATCGTTAAATTTAACACAAGTACGTCAACAGACAAAAAATAGGCCAAATAATACCATATTTAGCTTATCATATAAATTAGCCCATAAACAATATCATTATATTTTTATTGCACTCTATTATAAATATTTATCTTGGCAAAACGCCCAAACCAAAACAATATAATAAAACAAAAAACCAACAATCAGACCAGACCAAGACCATGCAAATGCATACATACAATACTTATCAAAAGAACCATTATAAAAAATACACAAGAAACTCTCAAAGAAATACCAAAGCCTGCGATAATTGTAGAATATCAAGAACAAGGTGTACTTACGGACTTGACCAAACCTGTAAAAACTGCAACAACCTGAAACTAAAGTGTGAAAATACCAAATTATATAAAAGAAGAGGACCATTAAGAAAAACTGACAATAACAAAAAATTTGATTGGATACTAAAAGAAACCATCAATAAACAGTTGAATGACCATATCAAACAAATCCAACGAAATTAACACTCAAGGACCAATAACACACTCACGACTAGTATTAATATTCTTACGAGGGGCACTGCAAGAAGTATATCAAACTAGAAAACAAAGGGATAACGATTTACAAAGAAACCAACCACTGATAGGAAGTCTAACAAGAAACGCCATATCATATATCAACATACAACATCAACTCTTACTGAACACAGCAAAAAGAGTAAGAATAAATAATCACAACTTAGTATACACAACTCTAGGAGAAATATCACAATTAAAGAACGGAAGAATAACACCAGAATACGTCCACGACTTAATCAACCAAAGAATAATTAGACTATCAGAAGTGAATGCCTAGAACAAAACAATATTGGAAAAACAAAATAAGAGATACTTTAGAAGAATATAAAGCTTTAATATTATCAGAACAAATAGACATAAAAGCAACAAATCAACGGTTATACTTTAAAACAAGATTAATATCTTTATCAACAAACCAAGAATTATTTGAAGAACAAATAGAACAAATAGTTACCACCAAATTCATTGAATCAGAAATATTGAAATCTATTGACGAATTATTAGAACAAATTTAACACTGGAACAATTAGTAGACTTATCATTACCACTGATTAATACGACCTTTCTGTGGATGAACCACTTAACCATAACAGCAATAGCATACGACAGAGCCTCAATACATTTCATATTATTTCTAAGAGATATTGTAATAGTAATAGGAGTTTGCTATATAATAAATAAAATAACCAACGCTATAATAAGCTACAGACAAATAGGACAACAGGAAAACCTTTTTAAAATAGAATTTAATGACTTCAGAGAATAGTCAGGACAGAAGAGAACAGGCAAATCAAATAATCGAACAATATCAAGGGGAATTACAAAGCTTGATCGAACAGGATCTGTTTTTGGATCTAACAAACACAGAACTAAAATCACAGATAATAAAAATACGAGACTCATACTCCTGCTCACAATTAAGACCACACGACACAGACAAAAAAGAAAACCTGCTTACAATACTTGACGAAATTACTAGAATAACCATAATCTTACAAGAACAATTGAAAGAAACCGACATATTTATTATAAGAGAATACGAAAAAGATTTATTAAAATTATTTGAAACCTCACATACAGACGAAGAATTTGCAAAAGAATTGGAAATAGTTCAAAACAAGTATAGTTTAAGCAACCTGGTAATTCACATATCAATAGAAAGAAATATCGAAGAAGTAACAAAAGAACTTGAAAGAATAACTGAATTACTAAAATAAATGAACAATAGAAACGAAGAAAGACAACAAGAATTCTTTAGAAACAAATTCAAACACATCTGGTTTTTTCCCAATAATCCATCAAGATTTAACCCAATAAAAGAGATCCTAGAACAAAGAACAAAACAACAGATAATTAAGGATATAGAAACATCTTGTGTAAGACTAATAGCAAGATTACAACCAACGAACAATTACAAAATAGGAGCCGTATTGATATTGTTACAAGCAATAAAGGACTTAGCACCGGCAATACAAACGCCGACAGGAATAATATTTAAATATAATTCAAAGAAAACACAAGACCTATATATTAAAAAACTAAATATACTACAGGCACAACTAGAATCAATAAAAGACGAAATATTTGAAGGAATACCAACTAACGAACACATACCATTGCTACCTGGAAAATTATCGACAATCTCTCATAACATTATCCAAGCTTTACAAAACATATACTTTGAAGAAGGAGCAAATATAAT